GAATAAAAATCGGACAGAAAAGAAAATACAATACTCTGAAGGAGACTCTGCTGGCTGCGGATCGTCTCGAGGGATGCAGCTCACCTAAGTCTCCGTATCAACCATGCCGCTGCACTCAAATAGGCCACTAGACATACATGTACTTGTGCAACAAAATGCACAGCAAGTGTAGTATGAGTACGAAAATAACGCGTACCTAGTAAGTATCCGGTCTAACCTTGAAGAAATAGTGACGAGAGGTCGACTTTGACACTTACTAGTGGTTCAATTATACAAAATACAGTAAAGAAGTGAATAAATATGTAGCAGAGTAAATACATAAAATAAACATGTATAAAATACGTGGTACAATTTTCTTTACAATTTTTCTCAAGCTGTCAACCAGCAACTTCCCTCTATAACCGGAGCATATATATAAAGATATAGTGGATATCATCAAGAGGTTGTCATGATTCAAATCAGGGGAAAATCCTAAGATACACTGGCTTTTAGCCAAATAGTATGCACGAATTCCATAAGAATAATGTATTTATATAGGAAATGCCAAGGCGTACGGCTCGATCCAACATAAAAGTAAAATGTGCACTGCCGAGGGTCGAACGGCGCGAACCATAGATGCATTATTAACCTGCCGAGGCGAACGACCCGCTCCCATGAGAGTGTGGTACATAAATCCTGTCGAGGCAAACGGCCCTATCCCATAAGAGTAGTAGAAGGGAATACCCTGCTCGCGAATCATACATGCGACGCGGTAAAATATAAATTTAAGGAATCACCCCGCTCACGAATCATACTTGCGACGCGGTCAAATATAAATTTAACATTGAAATCATATCTCTTTCTTGATTCTTTTCAAAATAAGGAAAATTCAACTTGTAGCTTTCTAAGGAAATTACCCCGTTCGCGAAACATACATGTGATGCAGTTGCACATAGATTTCTTAAGCTATTATAATATTCCTTCAATCCTTTTCAAAAATATGAAATTCAAATAAAAACTTTTAAGATCTCAAATTCCTCAATTTCAACTCTTTTCAAGACATTTACTTAGCAAGCTCAATCTCGCTTCTTCTCAAGGCAAACAATAAACATAAATCAACAACATTATTAACAAGGCATGGTATAAACCTAAAACTACTCAGACATAGGCATAACTAGTAGCTACGTACGGACTCTCGTCACCTCGTGCGTACGTATCACCCACAAATAGAGGCACATATTAATTTAGTTCACCTATGGGGTTAATTCCCTCTTACAAGGTTAGAAAAGAGACTTACCTCGCTCCGAAGTTCCATAACCGGCTTCCAAGCTCTTCTGACGACTCAAACCGATGCACAACGCTTCAAAACTAGCCAATAATTATGCAAACCCATTAATTTATGCTCAATTACTCTTAATAATCAAATTTATAACAATTCCTATCCCCGATCGAAAAATTGACAAAATTGCCCTTGGACCCACATGATTTTTGAAGATAAAGTTTACCCATAACCTCACGAACTCAAATATATAATTTACTGCCAATTTCGTACCCAAATCGTGGTCAAAATCTAAGAATACCAAATTTCTAGGTCTTCCTCAAAACCCCAAATTTCTACTAATTTTCATGTTAAAATCTATACATAATCAATGTATTTAACTCATAATAAGTGGGAATAACTTAACTTGCCATTGATGATAAAAAAAACCCCTCTTGAAACCCTCAAAGAATCGCTCAAGCCAAGAGAAAATGAAAGAAAATGGGCCAAATCCCGTCTTAAAACAACTCACTGGCCAGCACTGCCCTTCTTCGTGAACGCGGAAATGCCCTCGCGTTCGCGAAGCACAACCTGCTTCAGCCCCAAATTCTCCTCATCGCGTTCGCGGCCCAGTGATCGCGTTCGCGAATGCCAGCCACCCTAACCCTACTCGTTCGCGGTTCAGGCCTCGCGTTCGCGTAGGCCAACGACCTCAGGCCCAGCTCCCCTCTTTCCTTCTACGCGTTCACGTAGCCAACTCAACCCACCCCTTCGCATTCGCGACCTCCACTTCGCGTTCGCGAAGGCCAAATCCAGCCGCCTCCCACCTTCTTCTTCGCGAACGCGGAACCCCCTTGGCGATCGCGAAGAAGGAAACCAGAAACAGAAATCTGCAGCAACAACACAGCCTGAAATGATCCGAAACCACCTCAAAACACACCCGANGGCCTCAAATCACATCAAACAACGCTAAAACTATGAATCGCGCTCCATTTCAAACTTGATGAACTTTAGAACTTCGAACTTCTTCATTCGATGCTGAAACCTGGCAAATCACATTCGATTGACCTTAATTTTTGTACACAAGCCATGTTCGACATTACGGACCTATTCCAACTTTTGAAATCGGATTTCGACCCCGATATCTAAAAGTCCACTTCCGGCCAAACTTCTCAAAAACCTTCAAATTTCTAACTTTAGCCAAATGACTCCAATATGACCCACAGACCTCTGAATTCACTTCCGATCGTAACACCAGAATCACCATACGGAGCTATTCCCATAATCGAAATCCCAAACGGACATTGATAATACTGAAATGCACCTCAACCCAAACTTATGAAATTCTTCAAAAAATGCTAACTTCCACAATAGGTGCCGAAACGTTCTCGGGTCTTTCCAAACCCAATCGGATATACGTCCAAGTCCGAAATTATTATACAAATTTGCAAGAACCTTTGAATCCCAATTCCGAGGTCGTTTACTCATAAATCCAATCTTAGTCAATTATTTCAACTTAAAGCTTCCGAAATGAGAATTCTCTTCCCAAATCAACTTCGAACTTCCCGGAATTCAATTTCGATCATGCGTACAAATCTTAATACCTGAAGTGAAGCTGTTCCTGGCCTCGAATTGCCGAACGACGCTCTAGAGCTCAAAACGACCAGTCGGGTCGTTACAGTAAAGTTATGAATGGTCCATTTAGTTTTCAATTATTTTAATATTACATATGTCTTAGATGTGTTCTTTTAATTAATTGTTGTGCCAGTTTATTTCTTTAGCTTTCTTGTAGATATTTGCTGGTTTTGACCTTTTATTGTATCATATGCAATTGACCTCAATAATTCTTTGAGATATGTATAGTTTTGGGAATAGGCAAAGATAGTATAATAAAGAAGGTACTTGGACCGTATGCATGGTCACTAAACTTAAATAGTTTAATTTGAGGCTCCGATTGATTTGAGACAAATTAAATAGATCGTGTTAACTAGCCTATTTACTCCCTACATAAAGCATGACCGTACAACAATCTTAAATAAACGAACATCGTAGCTTGCTTCAGGCGTGATTAATAATAAATCATCGTGATTGTGGGTTGCATAATCACGATACGTAAATCCCAACTCAAGTGCGCGCTTCACGCGACTTGGCCCCAACTTCAAATAATTAAAAAAATTAAACATGTTGTGAATCACGGGTACGTTTCACATGGCATGTGTACAAAAATAATAAGTGCGCGATATCGCGACTTGTTTAAATAATTTCATAATTGTTTAAAATAATAAAGCGGTATAGAAGCGGTAACGCATAAAAGGTTCTAAAACATATAATAATTCAGATATTTAAGCCATGTATTAATTGTTAAGCAACCGTGCTAAAATCACGGTACTCGGGAGTGCCTCACACCTTCTTCCGAGTTAACAGAATTCCTTACCCGGTCTTCTGTGTTTGCGGATCATAAATAAAGTCAATTTCCTCGATATGGGATTTTAAAATAAACCGGTGAATTGGGACACCATAACAAATATTTCAAGTGGCGACTCTAATTAAACAAATAATCTCATTTCAGATAATATCACTTTAATTGAAAAAACTCCCCTATCACTCGAAAAAAAGAAGGTGTGACACAAATTATAAAACTAAGCAAAATGAGCACATAATTTCAACCATTATAGCAACATTGGCTAGAGAACGGCGAAGTCAATGAGCCATTTGGGTTTTCCAAATTAGGGGAACGGCCGTAATGTTAGGTTTTAATTAGACGTGACTTTTAAACTTTTAATCATTTACTAAGTTTTAAATGAAAATAAATTACGGGGAAAAGTAAAAAAAGATAAATAGCATCCTACTCAAACTTTCCTATTACACTACACTATGTGTCATAACCAGTTCAAAATATGCTTACATAAAAAAGAAAAAGCCAAGTTATGGTAAAACTACAATATCCCTGGAACACAGCTAAATTTCCTTGCAATTAATAGAAAAGTCTTTTTTTTTCTTTTAATGGTCCAAAAGCAATCCCTTCTTCCCGATTTATGTGATATTTCTTTTTAGCTCATTCCATACTCTTCTAAATTTAAAAATAATTAATTTTATACTTTTCATTTTTCTCACAACGAAAAGCTATGATAACCACATAAATGACATGTTTAAAGCCACAAGTTTTACCAGTCTTCATGTTTTTCTTACTCCATTCAGATTCAAATTGTCACATAAATTAAAACAGAGCGGTTAGCAGATTAACTAATCATAACAGCACAAGGCAAGCATGCCTTGGTGTCTGTGGCACTGTAGTACGTGCCACAAGGAGATTTACCAAAACGGGCTCAACAGACTAAGGAAAAGGGATTTTTACATAAATAGTCGTTCATATTCATTATTTACTTTTTCTAACCATACATATAATTTATACATGGATTATATATAATTATACATATATAATATATAAAGTATGCATATACTATACCTTTATCGGCTATTTTTAATTTAAGTAGTTGGATAAGCGCCTATTTGGGATAATTCTTAACTAAGAGGAAGAAACTATAACAATACAAAGATAAAAGTAGCACAAAAACAGACCCCAAGGCTGGAAGACGAAAGGCATTAAATGCAAATAAAGTGACTTTTTCGTCCATTCAAGCCAAAGTACACACATGAATGCTGCAACAATACGAATCCTTGGAGCACAAAACAAACAATTTAAATTCCAATGGTACCCTTGAAGCTGGTAAGCATGTTTATCGTGAGGTGACCAGTTTTCATTAATAAGAAGGCAGAAGTAGAAATGTATAAATATAATAATAGAGAAATTTGTCAAAAAGTTATCCCTTTCCATTTTACGCCATCTCTGTCATATAAAGATGGAAAATATGTCAAGAACAGGTTAATCCCTTAAGACATCACTAATACATTGGGTCCTTCCGTTTTTCGTTGTTAGAGCTCCAATATTTCGTTATACGCATTATATGCGATAGCTGTCATATGAAGATGGAAAGTATGTCAAGAAAAGGTAAAGTCATATGAAGATGAAAAGTATGTCAAAGTCACCTCAGCATAACATCCTAGTGACGGCCAATATGTACCCAATATTGGAACAGCCTCATATTCAATTTCAGTAGTAGACAGGTATTCAAGCTTTTCCAAACCCCCAGCCTCTTCGATCCGCTTAGTATAACCACCAGTGCCGCCGCCATCTTCCTCTTCAATACGCTTTCCAAACTTCAATATACTTTCTACTGCTTTTAGACTGATGATACAAGCTGCTGTACCCCCAGAGAAGCCAAGATAATCACACAGAGGATCTATGCAGCAATCCACCAAGTCTCTAAAGCCAAAATCACGAGGAAAGAAAACATCAGAGTTAGTAAAATAATCAGTATATAAGAGAGATGATTTACCGAGAAAAAGAGGTTACATACTTGGTGTAAGCAATGTCACTGGTACCGATAATAGCAATTAAAATTGCAGCAGCAGCAGCAATACCCATTTTTTTGCAGAAGCACGCCGAAGCTCTCGCTTTATTCAACTTGCTACGCTTCACATCACAGAAGCGCCCGAGGTCTCGCTTCGTGCTTTAAATGCTGAAGCGAGTGCTTTTCACAACACTGGGAGGAATAGCAGTTTTTCTCCCTGTTATTTGGGGTAGCACATTTAACATTTAAGTAAACAAAATGACTGCTTATATTTACTAACAGTGACCAACAGTCCAACCAGGAAGGGCAGTTTGGATATTACAGCTAGAACACTTTAAAAAAGACCTAATTATAAACAATTAGAACTCTTTCCATGGTTATCTTCCCTCACAACCATATACCAGCCCTCCTCTCTTCTTCCATTACGATGCGAGTTAATTCTGATCCGTCGATGATTGTTTCTTAACGCCATGCTTAACTCTACTAGTTCTTTCTTCTAGCTAAGCAGTATTCATTCACTGTATCAGCTCAATGACATCCACTCAGCAGTTTAAAATGGAAAAGTTTTATGGCTAAAGAGTATCACTAGACAATGCCTTGACTAATCCAAACTAGAGCAGAAAAAGAAAGAGTTCTAACGAAAAAAACAAATCTTTCAGTATATAAATAATCAATCTTTATAACCAAAAAAAATAGCAAAGCCTGGAAAAGAACACTTAAAAAATGAAAACTTGTAGAACACTGACACGAACAGGCAATGAACTTCAGCAGCAATTAAACAATCAGTTAGTGAAGATTCTAAAGAAACAAATTACCCACAGGGCAGATAGGTATAACCCCAAAATTAAAGCAATTTAAAAACAATGAATAGCCAAATTCAAGGACAACCAATTCAAAAACATGCTTAACTTTCCTCTTGAGATTTCATTGGATTAGCTGCATTTGATTCTAATGGGTTTTCAATATCTTTGCCTTATGCTTCTTATGTTTTGATGATCTAACAAACTTATTGAAGAACCAGATAGAGAACCTGACCACGCGGTATACATTTCAAATGAATAACGTCCAGTCTGGTCTCCAGCAAATGAATGAACCACAAGGAGGAACACAACGGGGACCTGGTGATCTTGTCCCTTAGGGTTCTCCGACAGAAGTACAAGTCAGTGACCGGCCGCAATCATTATAAAAAGGAACACAACAGGGACCTGGTCCCTTAGGGTTCTCTGACAGAAGTACAAGTCAACTGTACAGCTGGAATGCAACTGCACAGAAGTGACTGTGCAGACAGTGCATCAGTCACTTCTCATTGGGAAGAAGCGTGTACCAAGAATTGACATCACTATCTATTGTGATGTCTTTTGTGATATACCAACCTGGTGCAAAGCACATCTTTTGTGCATTCAGTGATATTCTCTCAAGCATAACAGTGTTCATCCGGCATTGAAATCACTGGTGTGTCAAGAACAAGAAGATAACTCCACTAAGGATCAGTTTCACAACGAGCTTATGTATATCCGTAGTTGAGTTGTAATCTTGTTATTTGTTCTTCATTGTATTTCCCATTTTGCTTTCTTAGAAACTGTCTTGGGAAAAACCAAAAATCCGTAAACTTCCGAGTTTATGTTGTGACTAGGATTAGTCATAAGTTTAAAGTCTTTGTAACTAGGAGAGTTATAAAGTGGCTTGTGGTGAGAGCATCACAAGTTAGTTGAAGTCTTTGTAATAGGGTTATTGCAAAGTGGCTTGTAATAGCGAGATTGCAAGTTAGTGAAGTTAAAAGCCTACAAGTGTAGGTCGTGATTTTTTTGATCCCCTTGTGTGGGATTTCTCCACGTAAAAATCCCTTGTCTTCTTTACTTTCAGTTTTATTAGCATTCTCCGCATTATCTCATAGAGGACCAGATACTCTACAGTTTGGTGGACTCATACAAACTAACAATTGGTATCAGAGCAGGTTCTTTCTAAAAGGTTAACACCTAGAAAGGATCTCAATGGTTGCTCCACCCAACTTTGAGGAAGGACAATCAACCTACAAACCTCCTAGATTCAACGATCAATACTATGGCTGGTGGAAGACTCGCATGCATGACTTTATAATGGCCGAAGATTCAGAACTATGGGACATCATTTGTGATGGTCCACGTGTTCCTATGAAGAAGCTTGAAGAAACTGGACCAATGGTGCCGAAAGACAGAAAAGAGTACAGCGACATTGACAAAAAAGCCGTAGAAAAGAACTATCGTGCCAAGAAAATCTTGGTATGTGACATAGGACCTGATAAGTTCAACAGAGTCTCAGCGTGTGATACTGTCAAATAAATATGGGAGGCGTTGCAAACCGCACACGAAGGAACTACTCAGGTTAAACAGTCCAAGATTGACATGCTCACCACAAAGTATGAGCTCTTTAGGATGAAGGATGATGAGTCTATACAAGATATGTACACCAGATTCACCTCCATCATAAATGAGCTTCATTCACTTGGAGATGTCATTCCAAGGAAAATCCTCAGTGTTCTACCTGGTTCTTGGGAAAGTAAGGTAAATGCCATCACTGAAGCTAAAGATCTACAAACTCTAACCATGGATGAGTTGATTGGTAATCTGAAGACATACGAGATGAAAAAAAAGAAAGACAGTGAAAGGAGAGAGCCTAAAAAGGAAAAGAACCTGGTACTCAAAGCTGAAAGCAGTGACTCCAGTAATGAAGATAGTGACATGGCCTATCTTACTAAAAGATTTCAAAAGATGGTTCGAAGAAATGGGGGTATACCAAAGAGGGGCAGTTCAAGTGCAGAAAGCAATTCTATGATGATCTCTGTCACAGGTGCAGAAAGCCAAGGCATTTCATCAAAGACTGCCCACTCGCGAAACAGGAGCAATACAAGCAAAATCCTGACAAAGCAGCAAAAAGGAACCTGGTTCCAAACAAACGATTCAATCGAAAAGTGCAGCTAACAATATTGTGAAGCAGACACTTGCTGCTGGGGGAGACTCCTCCAGTGAATCAGAAAGGGAACCAGATGTAGAAAACAATTCTATGATGGCAGTGGAAACTGAAGCAACGAAGTATGACTCATTGTTCGCGCTGATGGCTCAGTTTGATGAGGATGAAGATGATGAGATAAATTTCAGGGATGTTCAGAGAAATCTGAAGTCCTACTCTTCTAAGAAGTTAAGGTCATTAGCTAATGTTTTAATTGATGCTTATTATAGCCTTGATAATGATAAGGAGATCCTGACCTTAGAACTAGGAGAAGCTGAACAATCTAGAGATGCTCTGGTTGTTTGTGTAGTGGACCTAAATGAGACCATAGCTAATCTTGAAAAAGAAAAGGAAGCTCTAAATGAAAAGATAACTAGTGTAGAAAATGAGAGAGATGACCTGATGGTAGTGGTGGTTGATTTGAAGGAAACAGTAGAAGGTCTCAGTAATGAGAAACACACTCTAGAAGAAAACAAATTAGCTACTAAGCAAGAGAGAAATGATTTTTTAATGATAATCATTGTCCTAGAGGAAACCATTGAAGGGCTCAATAGATAACACAGGACTGTGAGCCTTGGGAAAGGGAAAGAAGTAGCTAGTGAGACACACATCAAGCTTGAACATGAATTAAACGATGTGAAAACCAGTCTATGTGGTGAATATGAGAAAAATCGGCAAATTCAAGCTGAATTAGAGAAAGTCAAAAGTGATCTTGGGAAATCTCTGAAGTGGACCTGGTCCTCAGATGCTGTGACTGTCATGTACTTGAATAACAGTGGAAACAAGTAGGGAATCGGGTTCCAAAGGGAGAAAACTCCTTACAACCCTCACAGCAAGTACGTCACTGTTCCTGATAACTGGATGTGCACCCACTGTGGGAACAATGGGCACTTTAAAGAAAATTGTCAGGCCAGGGTTCAATCTGTTCAGAAAAACAAAGTGCTTACTGACAAAGTGACTACTAACAAGGGACCAAGTACCGGTCGCAAGAAACGAATATTGCCTGCATGGACTAGAAAAGCCATTATCCATCCCTTTTATCATAACAAGGGACCCAAACTGGTTTGGGTTCCTAAATCTAATCCTGATTTGCATGTGCAGGGAACAGTGAGAGGAAGCGGACTGCAATGAACCAAGGACAGTGAATGCTCAAAGCACGTGACTGGAAGCACCATAGATTTCTTCTCACTGAAAGCCCTGCAGGAAAGGAATGCATCCATTGAAAAAGGGAAAGGGTACATTCTCAGTGCCGGAAAAGTTGAAAATCTCTCTGTCACTAAATTGAGAACATGTACTATGCGGATGGCCTGAAGTACAGTGTCTTGAGTGTCTCTCAAAAACTGCGTTAAAGGGAACAAAGTAGAGTTCTTGTCAAAAGAGTGCACAGTTACCAATCTGGTGACTGGGAAAGTGGTCTCAGCGGCCAAAAGAAACAAGAACATCTACGCTGTTAACTTTGAATCTTTAACAAGCTGGTGATATGAGATGCTAGAGAAGGACCTGATTCGTGGTCTGTCAAAATTCACCTGGACATTGGTTCCTAGAACAAAGGATGAGACTGTCGAAGTGTTTAAGGCCTTTGTCAAGAAGATTCAAGTGAAGATAAAATTGAAGGTAGTATGCAGCAGATCTGACCACAGGACAGAATGCGACAACGCCAAATTGGAAGAGCTTGTAACAAAAAATTGGAATCACACACAACTTCTCAGCACCAAGGACTCCATAGCAATATGGTATTGCTGAAAGAAAGAACAGAAGTGGAAGATATGGCATGGACAATGCTCATCGACAATGGAATCGCCAAGAGTGTCTGGGCAAAAGCAGTAAATACTACTTTCTACTTGGTGAACAGGTGTATGATTAGGTCCCTTCTGAATCAAAACCCACTATGAGCTGCCAAATGGAAGAAAGCCAAAGACAACTCATCTGAGAACCTTCTTGACTGAAAATGCCATGTTCTCGACAAAAGGAAGGACCAGCTTGGGAAGTTTAATTCAAAGGCAATGAAGGAATCCTTCTAGGATACTCTCCACAAAGCAAAGGTCACAAAGTCTACAGCAAAGGGCACATTAAGTGGAAGGAAGTGCTCATAGGGTATTCAACAAGACACCTTCCTCTAACCAAGGAAGAAACAGTGATGATCAATATAATGAACCATCTTTGTGCCCCGGGAAATATCTGAGGTTTCAAATAGGGAGGCAGATATG